TACATAAAGCTTATGTATCACAATCCATGCAAAGCCATGCATTTATATAGATTTATAATTAATTAATACCAACCGGTATTAATTAAATCCTTTGTCCATCGGTCAACGTTTTCGTTGACCGCCATTTCATGTCTTGTGTGTATCAACTTAATCATCATATAATTAAGTTAATGATATTCATTTGTGCTTCTAATACACTTCAAACAAATATGCATTTCATATAATTCTTCATATCATATTCCATGCATCAACAATTAATTTCTTTCATACAAACTTAACTCTATTGGCTAATCACATGTTTAAATATCTTTTAAACATCATTATGAACTCATATAACATTTATTTAGGTAATCTCATAATTAACCCAAAAGTTATAAGATATTAAGCCGTCCACTCACCTTGAACTAGCGTTAAGAAGTTCTACCCTTCTTGGTTGAAACTCCGGTGAAACTCCGGCGACTTTTGGTCAACTCCGGCGACAACTCCGGCGACTTTTTCCCAACTTTGTGAAATCACTTGAAATACCCTTTACAAGTTCCTAACAAGATTTTATAATCATAAAACTCATATTAATACAAATAACCTCTAAAAGGTTATTTTCCGGTGAACCGGTAGTTTTGGTTTCCAAGTCCGTTCTTGGACATAGAACCATCTTCCTACCCATAAATCCATACTTATAACATGTGGAACCATACTAAGGGTCCTTCACATGATATATACCTCATATGGTAGAAGAAAAATAAAGGAGAAGTTATAATAAGGTCATTACTTTAATTATTCACACTTTTCCCAACTTTTTCCCTCTTTAATCTTCCTTCTTTGAACACTTATGCTTGAGCTCGAGTTTGGTGGCTATGGAGGATTATTTGAGAGGTTTCTTTCCTCTTCCTTGGTGCTTGGTCGAGCTAATGAGTGAGGGAGGGGAGGGGATGGCTCTCTTTGTCTCATTTGGCAAATGAGTGAGGAAAAGGGCCCCTTTGGGTGTACCTTTGATGCCCAAGCCTCCTCCTCCACATCTTCCTTAGTCAACTCCAGCCCATCTTTGTCTAATCTAGCACAAAAACGTGGGGTGGCCCCCACTCATGTGGGAGGTCATCCCTTTGTGTCCCGATGTGCACAATCGGTCCCGAAAGTTGTATTTTTCGGACTGTTTTGATCATATTTTATTTTATCGGGTAAAATAAAATATATTATGTGCTCTTACTCATTATGACATGTATAAAGAATATACATTCCCCAACTTTAATTTATAAGCCTCCGAAATTCAGTTCGGGCCGTTATCCGTTAAATTACCAGTACCGATAATTTGGGCTTCTATTGACCAATCGGTCAACTCTGGACCTTTCCATGGCCCGAATGAAATATCCACCACCATATATTTATTATCTAGACCAAGATGAATAAAATATAAGGTCTCGGCAAATCGGGCGGCCCCCCGCTCCCGGTGTAGGTCCCACGTGCAATCTACTATCCACGCGAACGAATAAATAAAAATTTACAACTTCGTAAATTCATAACTCATTCCATAAAGTTTATTACATCATTTACGTAAAAGTAAATACATTTGGGGACGGTGCTACACCAAATGCTTGTCCCAACTTCCTTGGAACTCCAAAGCACATGCCCTAAGCATGTCTTCCAAAATCTGTATCACCCGCTCGGACTGTCCATCCGTCTGTGGGTGAAAAGCTGTGTTAAACTTCAGTTTAGTCCCCAAAGATGCTTGAAACTTTGGCCAAAATCGGGATGTGAATCGTGGATCCCTATCCGAGACAATGGATATTGGGACTCCATGTAATCTCACAATCTCCTCCGTGTATAGCTTGGCCAATCTTTCAAGAGGATAAGTAATGTTGATAGGCAGAAAGTGTGCACTCTTGGTGAGCCTATCAACCACTACCCATACTGCATCGTAGTTGTTCACTGTTCGTGGCAGCCCCACCACGAAGTCCATGGTCACATGTTCCCACTTCCACTCTGGGATCGTGAGTGGTTGTAAGAGCCCTGCTGGGTGCTGATGCTCTGCCTTAACTTGCTGGCAAGTAAGGCATCGACTCATAAACTCTGCGATATCCTTCTTCATGCCTGACCACCAGTAACTTTCCTTCAGATCTCGGTACATCTTAGTACCCCCTGGATGCATGGCATATGCTGAAGAATGAGCCTCCTCAAGTATAGCCCTCTGGAGCTCCTCATTCTTTGGTATGCACACACGATCCTTAAATAATAAAAGACCGTCATCACGTACCCGAAAATTCTCGACGGGCCCCTCAAGGATCCGTTTGCGGATCTTCTGACATTCCTCATCAATGGCCTGACATCTACTGATCTCACTCAGCAATGTAGGCCTCACCTCGAATCTAGCAATGAGCGCCCCGCTCGTGGATACCTCCACGTGTGCCCTCAATGCTTGTTGACATGTGAGTAGCGTCCCTGACGTACTCTTTCTGCTCAGTGCGTCGGCCACTACATTGGCCTTTCCGGGATGGTAATCGATGATCAAGTCATAGTCCTTGATCAACTCCATCCATCTCCTCTGCCTCATATTCAACTCTTTCTGAGTGAATACATACTTCAAGCTCTTATGATCAGTATAAATGTGACACGTCTCCCCGTAGAGATAATGTCTCCAAATCTTCAATGCAAACACCACCGCCCCCAACTCTAGATCGTGAGTAGGGTAGTTCACCTCGTGTTTCCTCAATTGCCTAGAAGCATAGGCAATCACCTTACCGTTTTGCATTAGTACACATCCAAGCCCTTGGATGTTAGCATCGCTGTAAATGTCGTACCCTATACCCTGTATGGGTAGGGCCAGGACTGGTGCTTCGGTAAGTCGTTTCTTCAATTCAAGGAACCCCTTCTCGCACTTATCGTCCCATATGAACTTGGCCCCTTTCTTTGTGAGCTTCGTTAATGGAGACGCCAATACGGAGAATTTCTCAACAAATTTACGATAGTATCCCGCTAGGCCAAGGAAACTACGTATCTCCTTCGCATTCCTGGGTCTCTCCCAATCCATGATCGCTTTTATCTTGGCGTTATCCACAGTAACACCCGAACCGGATATGACATGACCGAGGAAACCAATCTCTTTGAGCCAAAATTCGCATTTGGAGAACTTGGCGAAGAGTTGCTTTTCCCTTAGCCGATCAAGTACAAGCCTCAAATGGTGTTCGTGCTCTTCCTCGCTCTTGGAGTATATCAAGATGTCATCAATGAATACTATCACAAATTGATCTAAGTATTCACTAAACACACGGTTCATCAAGTCCATGAATGCTGCCGGTGCATTGGTTAACCCAAATGACATCACAAGAAACTCGTAGTGACCATATCTAGTGCGAAATGCACTCTTAGGTATGTCACTCTCCTTGATCTTCAACTGATGATACCCCGATCTCAAGTCAATCTTTGAGAATACTATGGCCCCTCGAAGTTGATCAAACAAGTCATCAATCCTAGGTAAAGGATACCTGTTCTTGATGGTGACCTTGTTCAACTGTCGGTAGTCGATACACATTCTTAGTGTACCATCTTTCTTCTTTACGAAGAGTACGGGTGCTCCCCACGGTGAATGACTGGGTCTGATGAACCCGTTGTCCAGTAATTCCTGTAGTTGGACCTTCAACTCTTGGAGTTCGGCCGGTGCCATTCGATAAGGAGGAATCGAAATGGGTTTGGTTCCCGGCTCCACTTCGATTACAAATTCAATCTCTCTATCGGGTGGAAGCCCCGGTAGGTCCTTGGGAAAGACGTCCGGGTACTTGCACACGACTCGAACATCCTTGATGTTGACTTCTTTCTTCGTATCATCTACCACATAAGCAAGGTATGCGTGGCATCCCTTCCTCATCATCTTTCGTGCTCTCATCACGGATATGATACAAGCATTAGATTTCCCCCGATCTCCCTCGAAACATAGCGTGTTCCCTTGATCATCCTCGAGCTCCAACACCTTGGTGTAGCAATCTACCCGGGCATGGTGTTTCTCGAGCCAATCCATTCCTAGGATTGCATCAAACTCCAACATGCTTAGAGGTACGAAATCACAAGTCAAAGGTTGACCCGTCACTTCTACCTCACACGACGGATAGTAATGATTTCTCTCCACGTCGTCTCCTAACGGTGTGGAGACTAGCAACGTTTGAGTCATAGGTGTCAATGGCACGTCAAAGCCCTTGGCGAACGCCTCACTCACAAATGAGCGTTGTGCCCCGGTATCGATGAGGATCCTCGCACACCTACCATTAATCTTTAATGTTCCTACATTTATACACCATGTAAGATACATTTTCTAATGTTTTTACACATCTTTAGGAAGGAGGTTATTAGGCTCATACTAATGTTTGGAATCAAACGGGAGTCCAAACGTAGAAGAACGGGGCGAAAAAATCAATTTCGGGTGTTGGGGGTCCACGCACGGCGTGCCTGGGTGGCACGCACGGCCGTGCGTACAACAAACTCTCCCTGCTGGCCACTGCCGGCCAGGCACGATGCCAGGCACGGCGTGCCTGCGGCCGTGCCTGGCCAAAAATTCCTTCGGACGGCACTGCCTTCCAGGCACGACGCCAGGCACGGCGTGCCTGCGGCCGTGCCTGGCCCCAAATTTTTATTTTTTTTTCTTTCTCTTCGGGTGCCACTGCCCTCCAGGCACGACGCCAGGCACGGCGTGCCTGCGGGCGTGCCTGGCCAGCAGTGGCTGTTTCTAGTCCGATTCGGCCTAACTCACCCGGTTCGACCCCGGGGTGGCCCGCACTCAATCCCAACGACGTATATGATCAAAGTAAGCCTAGAAATACATGGGAATACGTGTATTACCTGCAACGGAGTCCGGGTTTGCTCTCGCATCCGCCTCGGTCATCGCGTACACTCGGGCTTGGGTCCCACCTTGGTTGACGGATGCGGCATGGCTTGTGGATGCGCCGCCTCTTCCCGTGCCGCCGTTTGACAGTCCCGCACGGTTCCTTCCCGTCATGGTCCCTCCCCCGGCTCCCGAGGCACTCTCTTGCATCAATTGAGGGCAATTGGCCTTCATATGGCCCGCATTCCCGCACTTAAAACACCTTGGTGGTTCATTGCACTTCCCAAAGTGTTGTTTTGAGCAATTGGGACATCTAGGTGGCCCCGAGTTCTGTGGCCTAGGTCCGTGCCACCTCGCATCCCTATTCTTCTTTGCCGGTGGAGCCGGCGTCTTGAATGAACCACCGCCACCACCACCACCACCCCCGTGGTTGTTCCTTCGAGAATGATCGGGTGGCCCCGAATTATTCCACTTCCTCTTCTTCGCCTCTTCGGCGTCCCTTGCTTTCCTCTCGTTCCATTGGGCCTCCCCAAGAAGGCCCTGCTCCACCACCTCGCTAAAGGTCATGTGGCGCGAGTACGTAGCCCGATCACGGATGTCCAAGAGTAGGGCGTCCCAAAAGTGCTCCGTCATACGGTTCTCATCAACCGCGTACTCTGGCAAGAACCTAGCCAAGGTTCTAAACTCTTGTTCCAGCTGCTTAACTGTGCCGCCATCTTTTTGTTTGAGGTTAGTGTACTCTCTCCGTTTCACATTCACCTCGTACTCGGAGTAGTATTGAGCATAGAATTCTAGCTCAAAATCCGCCCATGTTATTTCCCCATGGTACTTCCCTTCCACGCTCTCCCACCACGTAGAAGCTATCCCTTCAAGTAGCCGTGAAGCGACAGTCAACTTCACGTCCGGTGTGATTTGCATGTCTCTTGATGCATCCTTCACCTTCTTAATCCAATCGGCGGCCACGGTAATGTCACCGGTGCCGTCAAAGGACCTACACCCCAAGGCCCTAGCCTCCTTGAGGTACTTGGAGATTCTCACAACAAAACCTCCTTCACGCCCGCCTTGTGACGCCGCTGGGGTGGCCACGGAAGCTCCCCGGCTTCCTTGACCCGAACCACCACGAGAGCCACGCCTCGCTTGGCGCCTAAGGTCTCTCCTCAGTTTCTCCTTTTGATACCACTCTAGTAATTTGCCCATTTGGGCGAAGCGGGCATCACTCTCTTCATCATCATCATCGGTGTAAGTGTCACCCCCATCATACGGGGTCTCCTCATGCTCCGTCTCCGGGACGTAGGTTGAGTCGTAGTCCTCGATGTTGGTTTCATACACCGAGCTTACATGGCCATCACTCACGGTTTGAGCTTGATGACCTCCACGGCCTCCACGGCCTCCACGGCCTCCTCTTGAACCCCGAGATGCAGCCCGGCTTCCCCTTTGGGATGCTACCGGCGTCTGCCCCCTCGGATTGTTCCTGGTCCTCATTCGCCTGCCCTCCATTTCTGAAAGAAATATGGATGAGTCATTAGACTCCTATAAATGTCAACTGACGGAAGAACGTTACAGACACGTATTGGCCCAAGTCACTACCATACCAATTGCTAAGGGTACCATCTTAACAATTAGAGGCCTTGCAACTTAAGCACCAATAGTCCTATAAACGTCAAAATACAATGCTCATGGTTTTCGGTAGAAACTCCTTTGTAAAATCTTTTGTGAGAGGTTGATTATATAGTTTAGAACTGAGATGGCTCTGATACCACTTAATTGTCACGCCCCAGACCGCAATCCAAGCGCGTGTACAACCGCCGTATAACCAAGTGACGTCACCCGCGAGTCAACCTCACTTAATTACACAAGGCGTTCGAGAATATAATCCATCCATACTCAGTAGTAAACATACATAACAACATCACATTAAAACCAATGAATAGCGGAAATATTCAACGGTAAGTCATAAGCCACAACCGGCCAACAACATGGGCATGCAAGCCCCAAAAATAGTTTATCGTAGAACAAATATCCATGAGCAAGTGTTCGGTAGTTTGAAAGAAAATAAGGAAGCACGAACCACGTCTTCCTGAGTCGATATCACCCGTAAGAGAGGTGCAAGTAGCAAGCCCTAGCTTCAACCTGAAAATGGTGGGGCCCCCCGAAGGGGTCAGTACAAGTACCGAGCGAGTAGCAGGCTAAATATAGAATAACTAGAGTTTCAAGTATAAGACCCAAACATAGGATGATACATATACGTATAGTCCTTCCCCCAAGTTTGGAATACATATTAGTATACATACACTTAGAAATACCCGACCCGTAGGTCATTGTTTATTTGGGAAAATAATAGTAGCCAATATCCTTGACTTAAATCCCAACCCACCCATATACCTATGAGTGTATAGAACTCCTCCTTGTTCAAATAAATTATCATAAGGACACCGCCCGGTCCTAGATCATTAAATGTAATCTATGAGTTTTGAGGATACACGCCCGATCCTTGGGTACTCCACCCTATAATTGAGTTTTGAGGATAACCGCCCGATCCTTGGGTACTCCACCCTATATAACCGAGTTTTGAGGATAGCCGCCCGATCCTTGGGTACTCCACCCTATATAACCGAGTTTTAAGGATAACCGCCCGATCCTTGGGTACTCCACCCTATATAACCGAGTTTTGAGGATAACCGCCCGATCCTTGGGTACTCCACCCGACCTATGACTTACCACATATCACGCTAGATAGGGTATATATCATATTTAGTCATTCATAACTAATTCACTACACAAAGCTTATGTATCACAATCCATGCAAATCCATGCAACCATATAAATGTATAATTAAGTAATATCAACCGATATTAATTAATCCATTAACCATCGGTCAACGTTGTTGTTGACCGCCATCTCAAGTCTTACACTTATTAACTAATTCATCATATAATTAAGTTAATAATATCCATTTGTGCTTCTTTTACTCTTAAAGCAAATATGCATTATATATAATTTCTCATATCATATTTCATGCATAAACAATTATTCTTTTCATACGCACTTAACTATGTTAGCTAATCACATGTTTAAATATCTTTTGAACATCATTATGAACACATATAACATTTATTTAGGTAATCTCATAATTGACCCAAAAGTTATAAGATATTAAGCCGTCCACTCATCTTGAACTAGCGTTAAGAAGTTCTACCCTTCTTGGTTGAACTCCGGTGAAACTCCGGCGACTTTTGGTCAACTCCGGCGACAATTCCGGCGACTTTTCCAACTTTGTGAAATCACTTGAAATACCCTTTACAAGTGCCTAACAAGGTTTTATAATCATAAAACCCATGTTAATACAAATAACCTCAAAAAGGTTATTTTCCGGTGAACCGGTCGTTTTGACTTCTAAGTCCGTTCTTGGACATAGAATCACTTCCCAACCCATAAATCCATACTTATAACATGTAGAACCCTCTTAAGGATCCTTCACATGATATATATCTTATATGGTAGAAGAAAAATAAAGGAAAAGTTATAATAAGGTCATTACCTTAATTGTTCACACCTTTCCCAACCTTTTTCCTTCTCCAAACACTCCTCTTTGGACCTTCTTCCTTGAGCTCGAATTTGGGTGTGAAAATGGTGAATTGTAGAGCTCCCCCTTGCTATTCTTGGTTGCTTGGTCGAGCCAATGAGTGAGGGAGGGGAGGGGATGGCTCCCTTTGTCTCATTTGGCAAATGAGTGAGGAAAAGGGCCCCTTTGGGTGTACCTTTGATGCCCAAGCCTCCTCCTCCACACTTTCCTTAGTCAACTCCAGCCCATCCTTGCCTACTCTAGCACAAAAACGTGGGGTGGCCCCCACTCATGTGGGAGGTCATCCCTTTGTGTCCCGACGTGTACAATCGGTCCCGAAAGTTGTATTTTTTCGGACTGTTTTAATCATATTCTATTTTATCGGGTCAAATAAAATATATTATGTGCTCTTACTCATTATGACATGTATAATGAATATACATTCCCCAACTTTAATTTATAAGCCTCCGAAATTCATTTCCGGGCTGTTACCGGTTAAATTGTCGGTACCGGTAATTGGGCCCCTTTTTCCCAATCGGTCAACTCTACGCCTTGCCACGACCCAAATGAAATACTCACCACTATATAAATATTATCTTGACCAAGATGAATAAAATATGTGATCTCGGGAGTGTCGGGCGGCCCCGCTCCCGGTGTGGGTCCCACGTGCAATTTACTATTCACGCGAAAGAAATAATAAAAATTTACAACTTCGTAAATTCATTAATCCTTTGATAAGGTTCAATACATTATTTACATAAAAGTAAATATACTTGGGGACGGTGTTACACTTTAACATTAAAATGTCCAAAATAACTCTATACATATATAGACACATAAACATTCATGAACACAAGTACATAATATAATATGTGGATGTACCCTAACCCCTACCCCACCCTACCCTTCCGCCACAACCTTAACCCCTACCTCTTCCTTACCCCTACTCTAACCACGACCTTACCATCTGCCCCTATTCCCCTCGTAACCCCTACCTGTTAGGGGTGAGGTTGGGGTTGAGGTTGGGGTTGAGGTAGGGGCATGTGGTATGGGGTAAAGGGGTAGGGTAAGGGGGGTTGGTTAGGGGTGGTAAGGGCTAGGGGGTTAAGGTAGGTGGGGGGATGGGGTCGAGGTAGGGGTAGGTGGATGGTGGAGTAAAAGAGTGGGGTCGGAGTAGGGAAGAGGTATGGGGTGGGGTGGAGGTGGGGTAAGTAGGGTAGTATGGGTAGGGGTCGGGTGGGATCGAATTAGAGGAAGGTAGTAGGGGGGTAAAGGGGTAGGGGGGTAGGTAAGGGGATGGGGCAGAATGGGTTGGGGGTAGGTTGGGGGATGGGGTCAGGGTGGAGTAGTGATGGACCCGGGCCGGGCCGGTTCCGGTTCGGGCCTGGGCTCGGCCAAGCTTTTTTTTTTGGAAGGGAGAACCGGCCCGGGTAGGCAGCGGTTCCGGGTCGGTTCCGACATTTATTTATTGTTAGAAAATCATTATACTCATCAACAAAATCAATTCGGAAGCACCTCAAATTTCATAAAAATGTCATATTCCTGTCACGACGTCCTGACCGGAACCCCCGTGCAGACAACACTACCAGAGGATCTTCCCAGTGGAATATTTTGATGAAATGTTTTTTGAGAATGTTCATCATCAAGTCTAGTCTATTCATACAAAATTTCAACTCAAAATTCAATCGGGAAGATTGTTAAAAAAATTCTTGAAACATACTACATTTTATATATGTACAAAATGTGCTGTAAGAGAAGAGCCGCCACTTCAAGTGGCGGCTTTTGCACTGTAAGTGAAGAGCCGCCACTTGAAGTTGCGGCTTTTGTACTGTAAGAGAAGAGCCGCCACTTGAATTGGCGGCTTTTCTTAACCACGGTTAACCCAACAGTATTTTGAGAATTATTTTTAATTTTGAAAATTATTTATTTAATTAACATTATTTCAAGAAAAAACTCGATTAAAAGTACGATTTTCAGTTAATGGAATAAAGAAATTGAATTGGCATATCCCAAATCCCAAATTCCCAATTCCCAGATAACGGGGAGACCATCGTCCTCTGAACAAAATAGCACCCGAGTCCTCTGAACAAAATAGCACTCGGAAAAAATCCAATAATTTTCGTCTGGTCCAAACTCAAGACGGACACCGAGCTCCAGAGATTACTGCAGGGGAATAATTCATCCTCAAAGCCTCATGCTCTTATCCCGGTAATTTCCTTGCTGATACCATCCATACAAGTGGTTTTTCTCTTGTCTCCCATCCCTGCTGATATTTATTATTTTGTCTCCCAATTGTATTAAAAGAAACCCTAATTGGAATCAGGTTTAAACAGGGAATACATCAGTTGTTTGTATTTTTGGTGGCTCGTTTTATGTTTTGATTCTATTAAGTTCGCAGAGTATATGTGAACTGCGTTGTCCAAAATTTATCATAAAGTTGTCTTTATCCCTGGATTTCTGATGACAAGTTGCACTGAGTTTATTATTAGGAATTAAGTGAAGATTTCTTAAATGAAACTCCGTATTGTGTAAAGAGACAAAAAAAAATTCTTTGCTTGTATTTCCCTGGTAAATACAAAATTGTTAGGAGGAATAATTTTTTTTATTTTGTTGTTGGCCTGTTACTATCTTTATTTATTAGCTTTGAATTGGATTTCTCCTGTTTCTGAATAATAAAGTGTTTGTTTTGGTTTTGGTTATTTGTTTAGTTGTAATTTGGGACAATAAGCAAATGGGTAGTAGATGGTTTGATGGTGAAATGGGGGTCCATCATCCTAACCAACAGCATGGTGAGGTAAAACACACATTTCTCTTGGCCTCTACTTTCTAATACTTTTATCGTTTTATGATTGAGCTTCTTATTTTGGAAACAGCACTGTAGTTTATCTTTGTGTTATTAACAAAGTACTTAGGGGCAACAAGTAACACTCTTTTATGTTTCATAGAATCGTTTCAAACACACAGAAGTATTTAAGTTCTTGTGTGTGATGTGTTTTATGAACATATCTTTTTTTTCTTAATTCCTAATTAAAGTTATTCAATTTCATTTCAAATTTGCATGCTCATAATAGATTGCGTACAAGGATAAGACTGCATACATCCGACCCCCCCTTATCCTACCGTAGTGCGTAGGTGGGAGCCCTTGCGGCATTGGGGTAATGATTATTATTATAGATATGTCCATTGATATTTTCTCGGTTTTTCTTTCTACAGTTTTCAATATGGCACAGATTGCCTTAGCTGGTGTTACTTTTGTTCGTTATTTTTAATAATCTCCTTCAGGCATGTTTTGCTATACAAACTACTAGATAAATAAAAAGCACACCAAATTACAATTATGGTATATCTTACCTTAGCTGATGCTACTTCTCTCCACTACATTAATTCTTAATTTCATCTCCTTAACTAAAATGGACTTGATTTGCTCAATCAATCATCATTTACCCCAGTGCCGCAAAGGCTCTCACCTACGGTGGGGTAAGGGAGGGTCGGATGTACGCAGTCTTACCCCTGTACTAAAGCACAAAGAGACTGTTTCCGGATGACCCATAATGAAAATCGCGTCCAAAATTGCATGGACTGACTGCTGCTTCATAACAAAGAAGAGCAGAGTGGTTATTAAGTAGCAGTCAGTCCATGCAATGGTCGACGTAACTTTCACCATGGGTCATCCGGAAACAACCTCTCTGTACTTTAGTACAGGGGTAAGGTTGCGTACATCCGACCCCCCTTACCCACCATAGGTGGGAGCCTTTGCGGCACTGGGGTAATGATGGTGGACTTGATTTGCTGTATGAAACAAAATACTAGATAAATAAAAATTACTACAATAACTTCTTTGCTTTCTAGTTCTACTGAAACTGTATGCCAAGGTTTTAAATAGCCGTAGCGGCTTATAGCCGACTGTAGCGGTTGCAGCGGCGTGAAATATTTTCAATTGCGCAAAACATAAATGTATTTTTTCACATCATTCACACAACATTTAATTTTGAGTTTCACTCCATGCATCATCATTAATGTATTTTTTCATATCATTCACACAACATTTACACATTTACACATCAAACAGTTCGTGATGTACTGCTAGAAAGGTCAATAGCGGGCGGCGTAGCGGATTTTTTCCGTGATTTAGAAATCACACACGAATAGTGGGCCGTAGCGGTAGCGGCCCCTACCGCGACTGTTATATAGCAGCCGCTATAGCGGTAGCGGACCGCTATTTCAAACCATGTTGTATGCTATACTTGTAATATGAGTTAATTCCACTTTTGGTCGTATGAGTTTTACGTCAATTTCATATATGGTCCTTGTCTCTGTATCGTTCCAATTTTATCCACTATATCCACTTTTGGTGTTTGACTAATGTTTTTTGACCGTTCGCGGTCCTTCCGTCCAACTTTTCGATGCCTCTGGCGATTTTAATCGCCAGAAATATTGACATGAGGACCATCTATGGGCAATAGTTATGTACCAAAAGTGGTCAAAGACATGGACCAATTATGGAATTGATGCAACACTAGTAGGACCAAAAATGGAATTTATTCCTTTGAATATTGTGTCACACTGGGACACAAACATAAGTTGTGGTTAGGCAGTCTCAGTTATATTATGTCATACCATTGAACACTACTTTTCTTCACATAGGATGATAATGATTCTATTCTCGAGGACCTCATAGAAGACTTTCGTCTACCAATTGGGCACAGACCAACTGAAAATTTGGATCTAGAAAATGTTGAGCAAGCATCATTAGATAAACAATTGACATCAACCAATGTCGGGTTCAGGCTTCTCCAGAAAATGGGGTGGAAAGGAAAGGGACTTGGAAAAGATGAGCAAGGTATACTTGTTCCCAGTACGACCTGGAAAGTATTACTATATTTATGCACCTTCAAATTTATTCCAATGTATATATTCTTATTTTAAACTGTTGGGGTGTAACTCAAGAGTCGTGCTAACCACATCCCTCAGAGTTACATGTAAGCATTAATGCGAGGAAAGTATTCTTCTTGATTTTCATAAATTAACCAATCGTGAAAAACAATTCTTCATATTTTGCACTCCAACAACAATTACTTCAATTGAATGTTTCTTGAAGATTATATAAAATATTCTTTCATCTTTAATACTTTAACGAAGACCTGGGGTCACAGA